CAGACAGACAGACAGACAGACAGACAGACAGACAGAAAGAGAGATAGATAGATAAGACGAACCTGTTGGGGGGCGGAGACGGGGGTGAAGAAGAGAAGAGACAAAGGTTTTGTTCGAGTCAGGAAAACAAGCCGGATGCGCCACGTAATGCGCTGGGCGATGTGCAACATGGCGCCGTATCCGAGCTGTCCAGGTAGCTAATTTTCGGCTGACGTGGCAAGCACGGCGGAGAACAATTAGCACCATCATGGTAGACGATGACCAACCTTATTAATCATCGGCAGCTACATCAGATGAGCCCACGAACCATCATGCTTCACCTCGATTACTTTCAGCTTCTGCGGGAAATAAATATCTCCGTGCTACTTCATCTCTTTTGCCCGAAGGTTCTAGTAATCTGCCCCGTCTAAAGGACCCCCGATCGCATTTGTTTCCTTCATCAGAGCGTCATATGGTTTACAACAATGGACCAAATGTCAAGAACCACGCACGTCAATAGAATGGCATCGCCTGGCGGCAGGGAAAGCTGAGCTTAATCACGACACGAACAGCACGGCTGTTTGCCCCCGCCAGTCAACGGACACCCCCGGGACGACTCGCAGTCAGTTGGTCTAACGAGTGGCATCCACCGAGCTCATTTTCACAAACCGTAATCTAACACTGTCCGTCGTGCGTCCCTGGGCCATCTCCGATGATCTGTCATTTTGTTACTCCTCGCCCCCACGCCCTCCCCCTCTGCCTCTCCCTCCTCTCTCTCACTCCACCCAACCCCCAACCTTCCCTCCCTCTCCTCCGAACTACATCGACTCTCACCCCACGACTTTCATTTCCATTCTATGATTTGAGTTAGGTCCGTTATTTCCCGACGGACGCCGCTGCGTCCACGACCACGAGTCAGTCAGGTGCTCGAAACTCACGACTTCCTCTGTCTGTCCATCTGCCTGCCATGTCTGCCTCATAAAAACGCCAAACCCGCTAAGCTGACTCGTGCTTCAGTTTTGAGGTTGGTTTAAAACACACAAAAATCAACGGTCATTTAATGCTGGGCAAAATCGGGACAGGCTGAAACAAAACGGGAAGTAAACTTTAATTACATGGAGGAACTACCAGCGGCGTCCTCCAACCACCTACTTTTCTTAGCTAAGTTGTTTATGACTGATCAGTATCCTAACTGTCACATTTTGTCGTGAACCGAATAACAATAGCATCGAAAATGGAGTAGCGTCCCGCAAAATGATGGACCACATTGCTTTTTTTAAAGATATCCTCTCGTGATGTTGTCCTTTAGGTATTCCAATCAAATAACGCCATCACGACAGTCTCGATAGCAAGCAATAAACGAATATGATATCCGGCTGATGTAACCAGTTACAGGCCTTTGAAAGCAATATGATTGAGTTCCGAGTAAAGAGAAGCACATCGATACAACAACCACCATTCAGACCGGGGGAAAGCACGACCGACAGAGAAATATAAGAGAGAAGGACAAGAGGTAGAGCCTACCAGTGGTACTCTCCGACCACCCACTTGAAAGTGATAAGAGATAAGGGCGGAGATGTACGAGGAACTACACCGCTAAACGGACAGTTTTTGTCTTTCGTGCTAAACCTCAGCACAATTCTACGTTGAGTTAAAGAGGGAGCTAGTCAAAAAAATCAATTGGGGGAGGGGGGGTTTCGTTTTACGGCACTTGCAATACAATAAGGCCATATAATATATGAGCCGAAGGTTAAAAGTGTTACAAGAGAGTAACAAACACAAAACAGACGAGGGGAGATAAAGATGATTGATAGGAAAGGAGCAAACCACACCAGAGCACCCGCCAACCACCCACGTAATTGGGTTTTGAACAACATTGACACACTAACGGTTTAGAGCAAGGAAAATTCAGGCAGACAACCAGAAGGACAGAAAAGAAGTGGGAACTTGATCCCAGACAAAGTTGTTTTTGTTTGTTATTTTTTAACCGGCATCTGAGCAGAGAAATGACAGAAGAAACATGATTGCTGACGCCTGTTTCAGGAGGAGGAGGAGGAGGAGGAGATGGAGAGGGGAGAGGAGAAGAGGGGGGAGAGGAGAGGAGGG